TGTATATGCAATGCTGATGTCTGTTCGGACAGTAAGTGTGTCTGTTCGTCTAGATGTGACTATTCAAAAGGAAGTCAACAGTTATGTCCCAGTTTTTGGTCTGAGTCATGGGGSCAGTCCAGATCCAGACTTCAAAATTCGTATCCAGGCAAAAGGGCCTCCACAGCAGTTGCTTTYCATTGGGAATGCTCTGGGACACATGCAATGCAGGGTCTGGGACAAGAGGACAGGCCGAATTGAGACAATGCAGACCCAACGGGGAGAGGCCAGCACTACTTAAGGAGCTGCCAGCCTCATTCCACGCAGATCTCCACTGGCATTCAATGCGTGGAAGTGCTGGTGCACTTGTGCGCTAGTCAGGCAGAAGCAGCGCTGGAAGAAGGARATGCGCTGAGGGAAGAAGAAGGCTGGGCGCTGGAGGRAAGCAGCCATCGCTGCCCAGCAGATTAGTGTAGACTTAGCAGGGTTAGTGTAGATAGCTATGAGTGACATTCAGAGTAGATCCTCGTGAGAGAAGAGTGTGTATGCATCATGAGAGGAAGGGACTGAGACAGAGAGAGTGTTCTTTCAAGGTCTGGTTATGGAGGACACTTACCTGAGCTAGAAGCAAGTGACGAAGGTGGTATTGATGTATCTGATGTGGGATTGGTATTGCGYTGAAGCGCGTTGACTCAGGGAACTGTGAACTCATTGTAATCATAATTTTTGATAATATAAGTGACAGGTCTTGGTCCAATCTCATCTATCTTTGTCTCGTGTGTGGCAACTGTGTCCATTGAGTGTGAATACGACATTTGATGTATGCACATCTGCGTGAGTTGGTCCCCAGGACCCATGCAAACCGTTCTAAGATCATAAAATTTTACGAAGAGTTGTACACTCTAACCACCTATGAATTGTCAGCATTTGGCGGGATGATGATTTTGTACGGGCATCGCATATGTTCAGAAATAGGAGGGTTACTAGGCTTTGTATTTGCGTCCTTAAACATTTGTTTGGAGTCCATTGGCAAGATCTCCCGATATCCATGGATGTGGGGTGTCACGCATGCCTCCAAACTATTATATCCCCAGACCTTCCTCCAGATAAACGATTTGAGATGTTCTAGAGAGGAGGCATCTCCCCCGTCCTTTTTTTGTTGTCGTTGTTGTAGATTAGTGTATTAACAATTTGAGATGTTCTAGAGAGGATTCGTCTCCCATCCTTTTTTGTTGCTCTTGTTGTAGATCAGTGTACGTGTGGTTTTTCCTTGTTGTTCATGCTCATTTAGTTTTTGTGATTCATGCTTCGGGGTAGTCAGGCCTGAATGCCAGTGAATGGCCGAACTTCAAGGCGAGCTGGGTCACCTGGGTCCATCTGACTGTGTAGAATGTGCTTGTGATGGAGAACCTCCACTTATCTGTTCCGCAGAGCTTGGGATTATTGCCTGGTAAGGGGATAACTGACAGAGACGGGGTACAAAGCAAAATTTTACAGAGAGTCAAATAGCAAACGTCCAAAAAAACACATAGAAGGCCAACCTTAGTTACTTCGGAATGAGAAGGAAGAAGAAGGCTTAGATGTGGGATCGACCTTGATGCCTTGCTGACCGGAAAATCTGTATGAATTATAGTTCCTTTGTCGCCACCTTCATTTTCCTCTGTAACATGTTGCAGGTGTACATGTGGGATCTCGGAGTTCACCAAGGGTACGTTTGTACATTCCACAAAACGAGGCGGACAACTTCAACCAAGCCCGCCTGCCCTGGCCTCCTTCCTGTCCACGATGTCAGTAAACCCCCTGAGTCGCCTGCGATGATACTGATCTGTGAATCTACACTTATGTGACGCATTAACCTCATGCCCTGCTCAACTTTCCTTGTTGGAGTGACTAAAGCGCAGGAAGGGGCCTGGAAAACGACAAAATCGGGTGTGCTAAGGCTTTTTGGAAAATTGAGTGTGGACACAGACAACCAAAATCTCCCGTGTGGTCCCAGCACGCCTGCGGCCGGGGGGTCCGAATCGGCCGCGGCCTAGGCCGACCTGCTGAGTTCGGTACATTATTTTTTTTTTCCCATTTTTTATGTGTAAAAATATATATATA